TCCCTTTGTCCCTTGGAACCCTAGAAGCATAATGACAGTGTCCCTTGGAATCTAGACATCTATGGTCTCGCGGTGTGGGCTGCAGGTGGTTGAGGCATCTCCGGGAGAAATCTTCTTCTTCAGAACAGGTGATGCTGATGCCCGTGGGTGTCACGGTCTTTCTTGGAAGCGTCGTCGTGAAGGTGTGCTCACCCCTCTCCCCATGGCCTCAGCTCCGGAGGGAAACCTCAGATTCTTTGGATCGGGTGAAGGAGGCGTCTTCACGTGTTTCTCCTCCTTGGGGGTATAGTCTCGGAGCCGGCTACAACTGAGAGATTGGTGGATGGCGGCATATTGGCCGCGTGTTTGGCTGAGGCGTGGGGTGCTCGTTTCTGTTTTGGTAACGATGATTGCATCGAGAGGAGCTTGGGTCGCCGCCAGGGCCGTCTCCAGAAATTCAAGGCCCCGAGCGAAAACCAAAATGTGGCCCAAAATTTTAAACAGTTCATATAACAGAACAATTATTATGCGTAAAGCATACTTTCATTTTATTATATAATTGGAAGTCTGTTTTATTTGTACCCTGTTTAGACATATATCAACGGTAATGCTAAAAAGGTAAAAGGGATTGCAAAGCAATTAACGGATCTCGTGTTCTACCAAAAGGAGCATTCATCTAGTATTTCTTGAAATAAAATCTTCAATCATATCTTCGTTGCAAAAAGAACCTTCACTGGCAATATTACCTTAATCAATTTATGAATCAGGAGCCTCAACCTCTGTTGCATTATCATCACGACCATCATCAACATTAGCATCTGTAGTGTAATTTTCAGAATTATGTTGGGGTTTTTTCAACATTAACTTCAAGGGAAACTGTTAGAGATTGAGCCTCAACTTTGAGTCTTTGTTTCTTCTTAAGCTTTACAGTACCAGATTCATGCTTCCTAATTCTAGTAGACATGATGAAGATGCAGAAACAATAGCTAAGAAATTGTAAGTGATCATTGATCGAATAGAATCTAGTTATTAGTTTCTATAGTAACAATCACTAGATGAATAGATCATTCATATACAAAGAAAATGAACTGAAAATATGACCTTGCACTGGAGATTAAAACACGGTCCGTAGGGCCTACAAGTTCCTCCATCCTGATTGAAGCGACGAACGAAACCAGGGTCCACGGCTGTTGCGTCTTCACGCAGCAAGACGATCAGCAATAGGAATTGGAGGTAACTGCGCTGGCACCGGCACGACTGCTAGGGCCTTCGTCAATCTCAGATCGCCGCTCGCCAGACCTAGACGGCAGTTCGCTGCCTGTTCGTCTGCAATCGCTGGAATTGAGCCATATGTACCCACTCTTTCGATCGTGCTATTGGGCCTCCAACCTTCTTTTCTGTCAGTCTGTTATTTAGGCCTCTAGCACTAGCAGCCCAGACCCCGTATGCATCAAAGTCACCACGTTAGTTTTTTTTTTTTTGCATGGACACCACGTTAGTTTTCCTATAGCTAAAAGAACGTACTGTAGTTTTCTTTCCTGGTTTATATAGCGATCTTTCAGCGGAAAGGAGGCATCATACAAAGGGTTTTTCTCTCGATGGGGGCCCCACGATTTCGGGGGCCCTGTGCGGTCGCTCACCTCGCTCCCCCTCGTCGACGGGCATGGTCGCCGCGGGGACTTCGGTAGTTGGATCTTTCCGGTGTGTCTGAGGTGCTCTTCCGTGGGTTGCTTGGTTACTTTGAAGTCGGAGTTGTAGTGGAATGAGTCTAAGTGACGACGATGACAGGCACTCGGTGGTAGTTTGAGGAGGGCATGACACAAGTCCTGCATATCTCCCTTATGAGGTTCGTTGTCAAAGTCGAAGTTGTCGTTTGCTTGTGCATGTGGCCATCTCCGTTGGCATGTGTCGTCCGACTAAGTTTTTTTACTGGAGCCAGGATGTACCGGTGCTTGATCCACCCTCCGTCGTTTTCATCAAGATCAGTCCAGGTTTTATACTCTATTTTCATATATCAGACTACACATAGCAATACATGTACTAGTGTCAGATATTGTCAGCTTTTACAGAGGAGAGAGAGTTGGAGTAGAGACAATGGTGCATGCATGCATGCATTCACTCACGGGATACATATGACATGCATTTTATTTTCATCCTCATATTTTTAATGACTTATATCTTTTGAACCAAATGTCCATTATTGAATTTCTTTTGTATATTTAAATTTGTGGTGACAAGATCTACAGAACAAGATAAATTTTGGATATTTTTGAAATATATTTTATTTTATATGTTTCAATTATCTCTTAAATCACTTTCATAAAACACTAAATTGTTTCACTATTTCATAAAAGTTTTTTCTAGTGTTTCGCTCATTTTGACAAGCTGGAATATGAAACTCACAAAGACATAGATATATTTGATATAGTAGTAAAATAGAAGTTTAATATATTCAATTTAAATGTGTTTGACTACAACTTAGACGTGTTTGAAATACTCAATTTCACATGTTTTAAATAAACCTATTTCACTAATTTCTTATTTTTATATTTTAATTATCTTTTAATATCGCTTTCATTAAACATAAGATTGATCCTCTATTCCATAAGTGTTTTTGAGTGTTTCGCTAATAGAAGTTAAAAAATCATTTCACTCGTTTCAAAATAGATTTCACACATTTCAGAAAACAGATTACTCTCATTTGCAACACTAATTTCACTGCAAATTTAAGAAATATATTGAAATATATTCCGCTCATCAAAATATCAGTTTCAAACACTGAAAAATTAGTTTCACAACAAAAATTGGTTTTATTTCACTTTTATTCAAATAACTTATTTCACTCATTTCAGAAAACACACTGCACTCATTTACAAAATATAGATTTCACCCATTTCACTAGTTTCAGAAAACTGATTTCACTCATTACAAAATATGTATGAGAAACTAATTTCACTCCGTATCATATCAAAAATATTGAAACATATTTCACTCAGCAGAAATATCAGTATCACACAATGAAAAAGTCGTTTCACACCAAAAAAGATATATTTCACTTTTTTGAAATAACTCATTTCACTCATTCAGAAAACACACTATAGTCGCTCAATTGAAATAATATATTTCACTTGTTTCAAAAAACTGATTACACTTATTACAAAAGATAAATTTCACTAGTTTCAGTAAAACACATCACAGTTACTCCATTGAAGAAACAATTTCACAAGCTAGAATATGAAACTCACAAAGAAAACTATATTCGGAAAAGTGTTTCAATCATTTCAATAACTGATTTCAATCATTTCGAAAATTGTAATTTGAAATGAGTGAAATTAATATTTTGATATGATTGAAATAGTAAAAGTTAAGCTAGTTTAAATATATTCAAGATTGGTATCATTATAAAGATCTTATGTTCAAGAATTTGAATATATGAAAATTTTAAATAATAGTACAAAGCTTTAAAAAATATTGGTCATCTAAAAATATAACCAAAAATAAAATGCATGGATTTGTTTGAGACAGAGGAGAGAGATGTTGCATGCATGCGGACAATCCACTGCAAAAAGTACTGCCTCTCCCTGACATCTGACATTGATTTGACTATATACAAAGGGCATATGTTTCAATACATGATTATACATATGGATGGGCCCTACTTAGGCACAGATCATAAAGCAAGTGGAGGGTGGATCCGGCTCCAGTACATCCCGCCTCCGGTAAAAAGGAGTTTGCGATGTGTCGTCATGGCATGTTCCATCTTGGTGGCCCATGTCATGTGGGTTAAGTTGTATCGGTTTTAATCTGGTTTTTCATTAATTAATTGAGCAATTCTCACTCTCTTCTTAATCAATGATAATGATAAGTCTTTTGCTTCGTTAAAAAAAACATAATGACTTGGCGCGGGCTGAACCGTGAACTGTGGTCTTGCGATTTACCTGACCTGCACGGGGACGGGGAGCTCCAAAGACACGGCCGGATCATGGACTGTCGGAATACCCTCCCTTGCTCACTCCCTGATTCCAGACATCCTCCTCCTGCACGCCCACGATCATTAGACGGGACCATCGCCAGAAAGAAACCGATAGGTAAACTCAATCTTCTGAATATACTGCTGCCTGTGTCGCGCGGCGATCTAACACCACCACCACGCGTCGCCTGCGAAGATCAAACATGACCTGAACCCTCGAAAAGTATAATGCCTTGTAGTGAGTCGTTAGGCGACCCAAGGGATTAATAATCTAGTAACACTACTGAGTCCTGTCCCGAGGGATCCGGATGGTGACGACGCACATGCACTGGTTCTGGCCAGCGGCGGCATGCATGATTCAGGACGGCCTTTTGTCCGGAGCAATCTAGTACTACCATTTGCTCTTCTGCTGCTGCTGCTGCTGCCGCTGCCGGTTGGTCTAACTGAATGTTCCCTGCACTTTCCTGGCCCTGCCCCGTCATCACTCTCGCTCGGAAGTGTGAAGAATGGCATCACCGTCACCGACGAAACTCTGACGGAGCCGCATTTGTGTACAGATCCTGCCGTCCTGCGTGGCCTGCAATTTCTGCGGTGAGCTGAAAGAAGTAACTTGTGGTAACAACGGAAGAGTTGATTGAGTCTCAGAATGTCGCTGTCAACCGTGAACTCCACTGCATCTACTGGACCTATTGTCAGCAGCAATGTTAACTAATTAGTTACTTTACTTCGTACAGGAGGCATGAGCAAGTTCCATGAGACTTCCTGGTACATGACAAGGCTTTAGTTAGCTAGGTGGCAACGCTGCATAAACAACTGCAAGGAAAGTACACCTACAATACAAGCATCTCAACCAGCCAACAAACATGTATCACTCATTGCTTCACGACTTGTACGATAATAGTCCCCAGCACGGTACTGAAAACTAGTATAAATACCGTACATACACCTGATTCCCCTCAGGAGCATCAGCACCCTCACACTCACACACAAAACCTTGCTCTCCCCTTCTGAGTAATCCTCCTCTCAGAGCAAGGAAATTAAAGAAGCGAGCATGGAGCACATGATGCATCTTGACCAGCACCAGCAATGTGGCGACCAACGAGACGCCACAATGGCTACTGCTGGCACGCGCAGCAGCGCTAGTGCCAGTGTCTCGCAGGTCGCCTTCGTGCTCATCGCAGTTGCTTTCATCTCCCTCTTCTCGTCCTCCTTCTTGGGCGGCGCCGCCGCTGCCGGGGCTTCTTCTTCCTCTCTCCCTTCCGGCGCCGCCCTATCTGCTCGCCTTGCGGCCTTGTGCGGCTTTGTCACCACCAAGAAGGCGCTCTTCGTCCTTTCCAACGCCATCTTCCTCTTCCTCGCCGCCGACTGCCGCTGCTTCTTCCCTGGTGTCTCCAGCATGGCCACCCCATCCACGAATGACGACGATGTCGTCACGGCTTCCAGACTGCCGCCATGTGCCGTTGAAGCTCGACCATGTTCTTCTTATTCAGGGAACCTTTACTACTGCTATAGCAACACCGAAGGTGTATCAGCGAATTGTTCGGGACAGCAAGGGAAACGAGCAGAGGTGCCGGAGTCGGCTGGGCTCCACGGAGGAGAAGCGAATGTCACCTTGGAGACGGTTGTCATCGTGGAGGAGCCAACCCGCGGTGGAGAAGCTCATGAGGAGGAGCTAGAGAAGCTAGAGATGGACGAGCTCAACAGGAAGTTTGAGGACTTCATCCAAAGCAGAAGGGTTAAATGGCTCAGGGAGGAGGAGCAAGTATTGCAATGCCAACAGCAACAGGTGGTCTGACTTGTGAGAGCAACAGGATTAAATGAATTAGATGATTTACGCTGAGATGAGCTGAGCAGTAAGGCCCTTCTGTATTTTCCTCTTCTGAACTATATATAGACGTGCTGTGTAGATAATAGATATACCCAGAACCTCTACTGTGTATGAGGTTGTTTGCGGTGTGTGAATCGCGTTAGTTCGATTTCAGAATCCCGTGCACATTTGGGAGCCTCGCAGTATACATAATGCAGAATTTTGCAATTGCTCTATGCTCCAATTTTGACAGTAGTATTCAGTAATAGCAAAACTTCTACTACCTCCATTCCAAAGTAATCAAGTTCTAGGATTTTCCTAACTCAAACTTTTAAGGTTTGACCAAATTTATAGAAAAATCTGCGCAAAGGTCTACAATATCTAATCGATTTTTATATAAATAATATGAAAATTTATATCATAGTGTGAATCTAATGAAGCAAACTTTGCGTTGTACATATTGATACGTTTTTATATAAATTTGATCAAACTTAATAATATTTGACTTAACACAAACCAATAACTTCAACTGTTTTGGAACTGTGAGAGTAATATCCTACTCCCTCCGTCCCAACATAAGTGTAGTACAAAGTTGCACTAAGGTTAAGACACTTATTTTGACACAGAGGGAGTATTTCTGAAGGTAACCTCTTTTAGTATCAAAGTAGTTTTTTTTTTCAAAAACCAAGAAATGTTTTATGTAAGGGGAATGTCTTGCGTGAAATTTTTGTAGGGACATTTACATTTATGCCCCTAATTTGTGCCCACTCTCAGATTTAACCATAACTTTTTTATATGCTCAAATTTGCCTCTAAAAAGCATTTTAAGTGGCGGGAATGCCCTTTCATCTGGTCAAAGTTGTTTGACCGAAACTTTGAAAATTCATATGAACTCAGAAGAATGCAAATAAGATATCAAAATATTCGTAAAAACATCACCTACATAAGCATTTATTTGCATTCACCTTAAATAGTTTTCTAATGTTATAAACCCTAAAAAGCTTTAAAGAATGATTTTGTTATTAACGTAAATGACATGTGCATATAGGTGATGTTTTAATGAACATTTTGATATCTTACTTTGCATTCTTCTGAGTTCATATGAATTTGTTATGAATTTTCAAAGTTCAGGTCAAACAAGTTCGACCAGACGAAAGGACATTCATGCGACTTAAAATGCTTTATAGGGGCAAATTTGAGCACATCAAAAAGTTAGGGGTAAATTTGAGTTGTGGGTTCGAGTTAGGGGCACAAATGTGAATGTCCTATTACTGTAATATTTTAAGTCTTTGATCGACATTCAATCATTGATCCTTGCCCCGACTCCATTCTTATTTAACCTAAATAGTATAAACTTTTGTTATGATTTTGCTAAACACTTGCCAATTTTCAACACTGGAATTTTAGGTTGAAATGCATGGTTGGTTCATTAACTCTTGAAAGCACACTTTAGGCCATAAAATTATAATGTGCACAAATTTAGCCATAAAGTGAATTAGGAGAACCATTTAGACCAACTAGTAAGCGTGCACGTGCAACGCACGTATAATCATAAAAAAAATTCCTCCATCATCCAAGTTAGGACACAATGATTTCAAATCTTAATTTGTCTACATATAGCTTTTGTAGATATAGTTTTTTCATGAGCACCATATCTCAATGTACTTTCAACCATACAGACTTAATAAAAACACGTTACATACCATAGTCAATTTCGTCCCACAGATTGACACAAAACACACACATAGACAACATCTGGTCATCGGCTCTAGATCCATAAACAGAATGTGAAAGTAAATTAGAAGACAGTGAGCATATTTCACCTAGCATATGAAACGTCTCACACAACTTTGCAGGATAAAATCTATAAGATAGTCTGTAATGTCTACTAATGCACCCCAAAAAATTTGGGTGACATGCACCCAAAATGTAAGTGAACACATTTATCATCTTGAGCGCTCGTGTAGGTATTGTTTCTAGCTAAAAAAAATCAAAACTTGTCAAATGGAGCAGTGTCCATGTCGTTCTAGTTATATATAACCCAAACTTGCCGAGATATTGGTATTTTCAAGCAATCATGTACGCTCAATGCAGACCCGAAGAATGCACGCACCATAATACAATCCAGGCAAGCATCAACACCAACACAAATTCTTCTCTTGTTCTTCGATCCCATTTTCATGTACCTCGAGATCACGACATCTTCATCTACATCTTCACCTCCGCCGACAATAGTGAACATGAGGTACACTCAATGCACACCCAGAAAATGCGCGCACCATAATACAATTCAGGCAAGCATCAACACCAACACTAATTCTTCTCTTGTTCTTCGATCCCATTTTCATGTACCTCGACATCACGACATCTTCATCTACATCTTCACCTCCGGCGACAATAGTCAACATGAGGTACACTCAATGCACACCCGGAGAATGCGCACACCATAATACAATTCAGGCAAGCATCAACACCAACACAAATTCCCTTGTTATTTGATCCCATTTTTATGTACCTCTATATCACGCCATCTTCGTTACATCTTCACCTCTGCCGACAATAGTCAACATGAGTTTATTCAGTGACCATGAACCGATGTATTTTCACAACAAAAGAACATAGAAGCAAGTTTAATGGAACTGTATAAATTGTATATACATCATGGGCAAGTAGACTGAAAACTGTTAAGAAAAAACATGCTGGCAACTACAGATTGTTCAGACACAAGAGCAGAACATCTAGCCTTCACCTTCGTTGGCAACACACCTTTGAGAATCTGATTACACAGAAACAGTATTCACAATAGGCAAATGATCACAATTATCTCTCCTGCAATGTGAAAACAGTATGTACCCATCTATCCCTCCCAAATCAGAGTATCTTAATTTCAGAAACTAATGACCAGTCCAAAAAGACATACAAATTATCAGAAAGTCGTCACCAAACCGGCAATCAGATAGAAGGGAGAAATGAATTGGTCATGCATCAGACCATCATTAGAGAAAAGAAAATAAAAAACATCAGAAGAAATTTTATTGAGCAGTCAGTGTAAGCTTAAGCTAAAAGAATACAAAAAAAGAGGGCGGACAATTACTTCCATATTTACACTTCATAGTGCCTCTAATATCATCTCATACTCAAATTGGTACAACAGCAATGTCAAACTAACTATTGCTATGCAATATATTTTTTGAGAAGAGAGTCAAAATATCCTAGATCTGATCCTTATACAAGTTTCAGTTAAAAAAATGCTTGTACAAGTATGCAGACTGAAAATATTTTGACTACCTACATAACAAAAATTGTGGGATTTCACATCAACTCTTAATATATAGTAGCGAATAGAGGATTTCACATCAACTTACCGTAGCACCACCACAAGTAGCTCCTGAAACAAAACACTACAGAATCAGACAATAATGTTTAGTTTGCAAAGCAGAGTCCATTGAATAGTCATGAAGAATCAAGTTAACTGACTGTATGGAGCATATATCATATTGACTTCAGCAAGGTCTTATGCACATTACCCTGACTAACATGGTCAATACAATAGTCATCTACCAAATTTTTGGGGGATGGAAGTTAAAAAGTACAGAAGCATAACAACTCACTTGTTCAAAAATGGATTCATGCCCGATTTCTACACGACAATATAGCAGCCATTGATCACCTCGTTTCACATGGGCCGCAACCATTGATCACAAGGTCGTGTGAAAATCGTCATGGAAAGGGTCATGTTCACAGTAATTTCGTTAAACAAATTCTGGAAAAATTAACACTCTGCATTCGCAATAGTAAATAGTTAACCAATAAAAGCACCATGGGTGAGGATCCTCTGCTGTTATGTAATTCTGCACGTGATGCAAAATTGCTGCTTAGCCTCCTCATCCATGCCCTGAGTATCCTTTTCTCCATTCTACCACATGCTGCATAAGAAAAATTGGGGCGTTTACTAACAAAGATTATACAACAAAGAATGGTATGTAGAAGAAAACAGTACACAGACTGTACGTAGTAGACATACAAAAAAAAAGCAAGGACGGAGATGATATTGCAACTCAACATGGAAAAAGAGAGGAGTTGCTGCAGGTGGGTGTACATGCAGAGATAAGATGTGCAACTGAACATAGAAAAAGAAGGTTTCAGCGGAGGTGGAACTCACTTGCGATTGCAACGCCGTTCTCGTTGCCTTCGCCGTCACGTCGCCTACTGGTTGTCCGCTCCTTGCTATTCAGTTTGTGTGGATCATCCTGGGCTTCCTGGGCGACACCTGGTCACGGCACAGGGCCTCGATGGCGTGCCGCAGGCTGCTGGCGGCGGAGCGGGCGACACGGGTCGTGATGGCGCTGCGCGGGGAACCGAGGGCGCCTGGCTTCCTGCTGCTCTCGCCGACCTTCTGCTTCCCGGTGCTCGAGCGGCTCAACCTCTCGCTGGTTTCGTTGTAGGGCCACCCGCTGTTCTCCTTGGCCTCGTGAATCGCGGGGGCGCCCGCCTCCTCCTCCAACAACCTCCCGCTCCACCCGAAAGAAATCGCCGAGCGGAACGCCTTGTTGCGACGCGCCTCGCCATCTACTTCCCCGCCGTGTCCGACCTCGCCATCTACTGCCGCGACCCCTCCACGCATGCCAGCCTCGCACTCGCACCCTGCTGGCGGGGTAAGCTTCGCAACGTCGATCTCTCCGGCGGCGTGGATCTCGAGCCGCTGCTCCAGACCTGCCCCGCGCTTACCTCGTTGGACCTCTCCAAGTTGTACTGCTGGACGGAGGATGACATGCTGCTTGATGCGCACCCGACCGCCACCGCCAGGCTCACCGACCTCGACCCCGGCCTTGCCGGCGCCTGGCTTCCACGCCGCTGAGCTCGGGGCCATCACGGCCGCGTGCCCCGGCCTTGCCGGCGCCTGGCTTCCACGCCGCTGAGCTCGGGGCCATCACGGCTGCGTGCCCCGGCCTCCGCTGGCCATGGCGTCCGGCAGTGTGGGAACAAAGA